ATTGGCAATTCATTTTGGCCGTGGGGGCTCGCCTGCGCGGCTCATTAATGCATATGTTTGGTATAAACTCACGTCATACGGGTTTGCAAAATTGTCTCAAAATAAAAAAAAATCAGAATTATCACAATCACACTGTTCACCCGTGCCCTTGCACAATGTATCACATTGGTTGACTAATCTTAGTCAAACCTATGAGATAACAGTTAACAATTAATGAATGACTGCCAACAACTGATTTAATAAGCCACAGGACTATCACCAGCGGGAATGGCGTCACACTACAATGGTTATATCATGGTTAACCAGTAATGCATGAATAATCGTAGGCAAGAAAAACATTCTTTGTAGCTCAACCTTACCATCTTTACCATAGCAATAACAATGCTTTGGCAGTCAGTTCATAGCAATGCTACAAATTTATTAATTTTTACATGTAAAATTGTCTGCACCTCCAGTTACAAATAATAGAGAAAGTGAATGCTGTGCACATCATCGTGATATCATTGTCAGGACAACAACACTGATCATTAATATGCCATAAAACCTGGCGATCATTACGTTGCGTGTGTCAAACATTCCATCAACGCCTTTCTAACAACCAGTACCAAAACAAAAACATACACAAACAAACCATCCACCAGTCCGCCACCCCACACAGCGCTCGCTCCAAGAATGGCTGACCGGCGTCAGCTTTCGTGCGTTTCGAGGCATTCTTTACGTCTGGCTTGCCAGATGCTGCCAGGTATTGCTGTCATCACAGAACCATTCCATGACGCCATCAAACGATAAGGTAAGGATGTACATTAAAAACCTTGAAATTTTGCTAGTTAGGGTGGTTTTTGAATATTGAAAGCTTACCAGGTAGTTACAAGCAAGCTTTTTCCATCACGTCTGATGTTTATCTCAATATCTTCAAATGTGGAACATTCCCTTTAAGATATGAGTATGTCTACCAAAGGATGGGACGTTCCCGCTTTGCATTCTCTTAAAAACAAGCTAAAAAATCGTGTGGATCAGAGGCCAGTTTTGAATTAACAACTGACAGTTGTTTCGATAAAGGCACGTAGCCAAAGCACCGGTGCGTCTTTCTCTCCTTTCCATAGTCACTATACGACGAATAATGCTGGCGGTACTGTCTTATCTCTATGCAGCATGTCCCTGGCAAATGGAATTGACAGCTTACGTAAATATGAAAATAAGGGAACGCCTCCCATTCTACAGATATGTAATTTGTTCACGATTTTATGCTGACAAAGAAACATGATTACTTATTTTCTCGTGTAATGTTAAATCCCCCGACTTTGCGGCCGTGATCCCGATCGGCGTCTGCCCAGTGATGGTACGCTCCTGCTTTGCATTCTCATCAACTTCATCCGCGTAGTATTGTGCGTTCCGCGGCTACCTAACACGGGCTGCCTGTTCTCCCCAGGTGTGTCCCGGAGAGTTGAGTTACTAAGTGGCCGTTGGGAGACGGCGGTGTGTAGGCGCTCGGTCTCCACTGGGAGGCATGCAATCTCGTCACTCCAAATTGGCAAACGTGACGCCGTGGGTGTCCGCCGAGAAACTTGGGTACGACCCGCCGCTTCAAACTCAGAGATGCGGTTGGGCCTTCTTCAGATGCGCATCTCCATGGATCTCACTACATCTCCCCCCGATCCATGTACCCATGAGGTAATGTGAGCGCCGTGGCTCGCGCTTGGCGCCTGCCTGCGTCCCACTCCTTCCTCGAGCCACGAACTCAGCCGCGCCTTGCCGCTGGGAAGTACTCATGTGGCACGTGAGGGCGTTAGGCGCCGCTGCGCGGCGCTACGAGGCCACTGCTCCTCGCCGGTCGCCAGAGCCCCGCGCGATCCCACTCGGCGTGACCTTTGCCGACGCTGAGTGTCGGTCGAGTCGGGTCAGGCCGGGCCGACGCGCCGCGCGCCCCGCACCCGCCACCGGCCGTACAAGGCGGCGACCAGCGCCGGCCGCCCTCCTGAGTGTGTATCTAAGATGCGGTCGGATCTAATAACAGAGCCGATGTTTGCGCGGCTCGCGTGGCCGACTGGTGCAGACCGCGCCGCGGCGGCCGGGGCTCGCTCTCGGCGCGGCAGATGTGCCCAAGAGTCGGCGGTGCGGCCGCGGTCTGGTTGGAACCCTCTGCAGCCGGCTGCATGGCTCTTGGCGTGGTCAGAACGCTCCGCAGATGGGAAGAGAGCACGAGCACGAAGGTGGTCACAGGTGGTCAGAGCTTCCCGCGACCGGCCAGAGAGAACATGGTGTGGTCAGGGCGTTCGACAGATGGCTGATAGGCACGTGAAGGCGGCGGATAGTGCCCGACCAACGGCTGGATGGTACGCGGGAGAGGTCAGATAGCTCTGCGGACGACCGAGGGTACGAATGGGGGTGGCGTGGGGGGGGGGGACATCGGTCTAAGTGCTTCACCGATGGCTGTAAGTCACACACAGTCGGTGTGAATGCTTAACCTGTGGCTGTGAGTCACGCCCAGTCGATCTGAGTGCTTCACCGATGGCTGTAAGTCACGCCCGGTCGATTCGAGTGCTTCACCGATGGCTGTGAGTCACGACCAGTCGGTTCGAGTGCTTTACCGATGGCTGTGAGTCACGCCCGGTCGGTCCGTGTGCTTCACCGATGGCTGTGAGTCACGCCCAGCTGGTCCGAGTGCTTCACTGATGGCTGTGAGTCACGCCCGGCTGGTCCGAGTGCTTCACTGATGGCTGTGAGTCACGCCCGGCTGGTCCGAGTGCTTCACTGATGGCTGTGAGTCACGCCCAGTCGGTCCGAGTGCTTCACCGATGGCTGTGAGTCACGCCCAGTCGGTCCGAGTGCTTCACCGATGGCTGTGAGTCACGCCCAGTCGGTCCGAGTGCTTCACCGATGGCTGTGAGTCACGCCCAGTCGGCCCGAGTGCTTCACCGATCGCTGTGAGTGACACCCAGTCGGTCCGAGTGCTTCACCGATCGCTGTGAGTCACGCCTGGCCGGTCCGAGTGCTTCACTGATGGCTGTGAGTCACGCCCGGTTGGTCCGAGTGCTTCACTGATGGCTGTGGGTCACGCCCAGTCGGTCTGAGCGCGCTCCAAACGGCCGGAGGGCATGCGGTGCTGCGCTGTTGACGTGGGCGCGGCTGTGAGCGCCGATATGACATTGATGCCCGCGGGCCGTGGTCGCACCAGCTGGACGGATGTTGATTTTGACGGGCATGTTTGGGTGCACACGGGGAGGGTATCAGCCGGACGGGGCCGCTCGACGCTGCAAAGCAACGGAATCATGCCATGGCCATGGCGTTGACGTCTCTTTCGTGGGACAGAGTCATTATAGCGTGGCCAGTAGCGAGCGGTGGCTTTAGCTTCCAGGTATGATAATCGACCACAGGAACATATGCGACCTCGAATGAAAGCAGAGCGTCTCTTGGCATGCATGGTTGCATGCCAAGCCACAATTCTCTTTCTTTAAACGGCTCGAGCGATCTGGCCTTACTGGGCAAATGTGACTGCCGCGAGCAATGTTTTCGGCTATCACTTAAACACTTCCCAGTATTTTTCGTTTGGCTACAAATCGCTGATCCTTGATGAAATCTTCCATTCCAAGCAGGCGCTTCATGGGGAGTCGGTCAAATCAGGTGTCACGTGAAATACGTTTGTGTCCTGGAAACATTCCTAAGATGGCGGGGGCGGGGGTCATTTCCACTTTTATGACGTTTTCAGACCATAAACGGTCATCGCGTCCACTGGATTTATTCGCCGCAATGGCTGTCGTAGCCCCAATTTGCGGGTTTTCACGGTCAAGTGATCGTTACACCGCTGTGTTTGTGTCTGGGACCGCTCCGCCGGCGCGTTCTGCTTTCCGTGACGCGAGGCATGCGTTGTTGGACAGCTGCGATTCTTTTACCACGTAGCTAGGTTTTCACGGGCCAGTCAACGGCTAGGCCGGTAGCTGGAGATCAGATCGCGTGCGTGCTGGCCATATATCTGATGCCGTCTGTCGGCGATGAGAATCTTTTGACCTATAGTCCGGATGTCAAACATGCGGTGTGGATGTCGTATCATGCACGGATCATTGTCACTATTTAATGCACCCCGCCGTAGCCCTTCCCCGCAACCCACTCAGCGCGTTCCGATGGCCACCTTGGATTTGTTTGCGGGCTGGCTATTCTTTGCGGTCTTGGAATTCGCTAACTGATGTCTGGGTGGATGCACGCTCTCGCGTCTTATGCTACAGCGTCTATGCTGCACATGCCGTGCTTCCGTGAACGTATTTGACGTTTCCCTACAAACATCGAAATGCGACATGTTTGAGTGCTGCAGATCGTTTTCTGCTCCGTAATTTGTTCTGGGTTCGAGATTTTCGCAATAAGCCCAGGACTGGTGTCACCCCCACACCATGGCCCTTTTCTCTTCCAGGAGGGTCTTAAGTTGTGGAAGATAATGGAACTGGGGTAGCAGAATTATCGCTGACCTAACCTGTCCCTGGCCGGGCGAAAGGAACGGCGGCGGGGAGGTTGCCCACATACCAGTTGATGGGGGGGGGGGGGGGGCGGGCGGCTCTCACCATGTGGCACAATTGACCGGGGCGCTCTAAGACGGGCGGGCTGAAGCCGCCAGTATCCTTGTAATGGGATGAGGATACGAGACGCTGAACTCCGCCCGGCCCGTTTGTCTGTTAGTGAAGAGATCAGAGACCTTAATGCCGGGGTAAGCTTCAGCGAGTAGTTCCTTGAAGTATTAATGAACTATCCTTTGGTAGCTGCAGGCACGTAATGCTGTTATGTACTGCTGACGTAAGACCCACTGTTCATTGCAGCGACGTGCGACCACAATTGCATCAAACTGGATAACTGTGTCCTGGACTCCTGACCTGTAACAAAATTTGTCCCACTCTCATGAGAACGTGAACTGTGGGACTAATCACCACGCTGATCCGAGTTTGTACGTGGTGCCGTCGCTCATCACCCATCCGAGCCCCTGCCATCGCCGCCAACGTCTTCTCCCCCCACAGTCGACATCGTTGGACATGCTGAAGAAGCACTTCGGCACGCGCCACGTCAGCCGGTCGGCGCTGGTGTGCTCCAAGTGCGGCCAGCGCTTCAGCAAGCTGGAGGCGGTGCAGCTGCACATCCGCCGCAGTCACGTGGGTACGTACGGGGATGCCGCGCGGCCGCCGCTGACCAGGCCACCGCATCGGACGCCGCGCGCGCGTGCGGCGCCGGTGCGTGATGCCGCTGAGGACCCGCGCGCACTTCCGCTGGGCGTGGGCGGACGGGGCGGGCGCGGCGGGGCGGAGTCGTCTGATGACGGCGGCGGCCACTCCGCGCCACCTGGCCGTCACGGCGCTCTGCGTGTCGTGTCGTTTGCATGCTAATGAAATGGCTGCCGGGTAGACGCGGCCGGCTGCTCCAAATTGAGCGCGGCGCCCGTCTCCGCGCCCGCCCGCTCGCCTCCGTCGCTGCTCTGCGTCTCGCGAGGGCAGTCCCGCACGACAGCGTGACGCGTCCTGGCGCCAGAGGAGCGATCCGAGTCGCCCCGGTCGGCGCCGACGAGCACCGAGCGAGGCCGGGCCCGGCCGGGCTCGGTGTCCGGCCGGCCGGCCCGCTGCCAGCCGGCCGCCTCTCAGCCGGCTCAGACGCACGCGCTCATCGCTCTCCATCCGTCACGGACGCGCGCGGCCGGTGACGCTGGCGCTGGCCGGCGTCGGGCCGGCCGCCGCCGCCGGGCCGACCTCCGCCCCCACCGGCCGCCCCCGGCCGGCTCCCATGACGGTAATGGACGGCCCGGCCGGCGGCGGTCGTCGACTCGCAGAGGCGCGCTGGCTGACCGGTCCGGAGAAACCCCAGTTTCCCGTGGATTGCATTTCTCCTGGATGCTTTTTTTGGTTTGTATAATTTCCTTGCTGGGGTCCTCGCTCGCCTCCCTCCATTCCCCTCACATCTCAGGAAGGCGACCCCAGCAGCCGCCGCGTCCGAAAAGTGCTGCCATTCTCATCTTACGCCGCGCCCTTCTGCTGTCCTGTTCTTTCTCGGTCTTCATCTCCTCTCATCCTTTCTTTCTGTCTCCTTGCATTTCCTTGCCCGATATTCATCTCTTCTTTTTCTCGTTTAGAAATCTTCTTCGTCATAACTCATTCGCCTCCCAAGATTTCGCGGCCCCCAGCTGTCCTCGGAACGCACTCAAAGAATGGAAAACGCAGCTGCAGCGAGTGGCGCTATCGACAGCGGCGACACCACCCCGCCCGTTGTTCCGTTTCTCCGTCGCCGCGCTTGCACTGCGACGGCCGCCGTCCGGCGCGCGGCGGCGGCGTACGCCTGCGTTTTTACGCGGCCCGTCGATCGACCTTCAATACGTCGCCGTCCGCGACCTGTCACGTCCGCGGCGACGCCTGTTTATCCAGCCGATGTGGCCTTTAATCACGCGCCGGTGTGTGGACGGCGCGAGGGCATGGCCAGCTCGGCGTCGCCGGCAGCCGTCCGCCACGCATCACGCCGTCGTGGCGGCGGCACGCGGCGGTGGCACGTGACCCGGCGCCGCCCAACTTGTCGCCTCCGCCGGAGGCCGCGCTGCGTGCCCGGTTGACCCGGAGCGGTCTGTAACATTCACCGGGCAACTTTCCCGACAGTCGACGCCGGAATCTGCACCAGACGCGCCGCGCGTGCGTTTGGTCCGTCTCGCCCCGGCGCGGTGGGTGGCGTGGTGTTATCGTCGGCTTTGTGCGGAACTGGGCGATGAAGTTGGCCGGATGCCTATGCAAACGAGGCTCAGCGGCCGGGCGCGGCGAATGGGTTTTTGCAGGGACGATTGCTCGTGAGAAAAGGGTGGGCCCCGCTGCCGTCCGGTCACCTTATTGCCTTTGCTTGAAGAGCGATGGAGGGTGAAGACTACCAGGCCTGTTTGTTTGCCGCTGTCGCGTAGACACCCGTAATGTCCCACCGTCTGGAAAGCGCGGATGAAAATTCTGTATTCTTCCCGAAATGAGCAGCAGCTTGTGCAAGATACGAGAACGCCACCGTGTGTGCTTAGCTGATGTTCTCCTTTCGCTTGCGGGTTTTGAGGAAGATGGCACACTGAATGCTGAATATTAGAAACATAGCACACTGAATGCTGATCACTAGAAGCATGGCGCACTGAATGCTGATCACTAGAAACATGGCGCACTGAATACTGATCACTAGAAACATGGCACACTGAATGCTGATCACCAGAAAGATGGCACTCTGAATGCTGATGAGCAGTCAGTCACGTCCGACGCTCTGCTGCCTCGGTTGTCATGCCAGCGGAGGACGCACGCATGATGGGGACCAGCGAGACGGAGCCTGACTGTGGTGTTCCGCAGGCCGGCCCGAGTGCAGCGAGTGCGGCTTCAGCTTCATGTCGGTGCGCGCGCTCAGCGTGCACCTGAGCAAGGCGCACCACATCTCCAGTCGGCCGGAGCCGGGCCGGCCCAGCTAGCCGGGCCCGCCGATCCGCCGCCGGCTGCCCCCCGCTCCCACCGGGCACGCCGACGCCGCCGCCGCCGCCGCCGACCCGTTGTGTGGCGGGTGTTCCCGTTTACAATGCCACGAATATGTTGTGGCAGTAGTGTGTCAGTGTGAAATAATTTTGGAGCGCTCTTGACCGGTCTTGTCACGCACTTGACTTTTGTACGCATGTTTGATTTTATTCGGGCGACATGCACAAGTGCTTTTGTATATTGATATGCCTTTGTAAGTTTTGGGGTGATATGTGGGAGGTGATCGAATACACCGGAAAAGGCAATTCAACCTCACCATCGCCTGCTCATTTGAGAGAATCCTCGTGGACATTACATCATGAAAACGTCGCCTCGGTCCCGTTATCCGGTCGTTCACACTCAGCTCTAACACCATGGGCCATGCTGCGACCATATTTGACCGTATTACGACTGAATTATGACCATATCACTGCCGTTTGATGATCTATTGGAAGAGCTGTGCCATGCCGACGCTGTAGGGTGAATGAGTAGAGCCAGACATTGTAATTTCGTTGCTATTGGACTCGTGCACTTCTATGCGAGAAAGACGCTGGCCAGCATGACTACTCAAAGCAATCTATGAAGCAAGTAAATCTACTACAGCTCAGGGCCGTCAATCTGTTCAGAAGTTACGCGTGAAATACGTATGGGTTTGGAGGCTATGCACGGAAAAAGGCTGAGCTATCCGCAAGTTGAAGGGTGCTCACCAACTCATTTACTCGCAAGCTGAACCGCGCAAGCTTGTGCTGATGCAAATTCGAAAGGCCTAACCGATGCCTCAAAGGCGACAGAAGGCCTGTGGAGATTCGTGGAATGTTTCAAGCGGCACAGTTTCTCACACCATGTGCGTTTCATGTCCCGGCAGGCTGTTCCGGAGTATTTGCGCGAGGTCAAGCTGGTGCGGAGGCTTAGCGCTGCGACTGGCCCCGTTCGCCCGCCGCCGCGTGTTTTCGCCGCCGGTCTGGGCCGGACTCTCTGGGACCTGTCGGCAATTTGGGCGGAAATCCGCTTCCCGGCGCGCGTTTTTCCGCGGACGTTGGTGCGCTGCCCGTAAGCCCGCCGGCCATTGTTGTTTACCGGTGGGGCCGAGCTCAACGCCGCGCGCGCTCATCGCAACTGCCCGCGGATTACCGGCCGGAAAATTGGCGGTTTTGCGCACGGCCTGATCGCGCGGGCTGATGGAGGCGGGACGCGCCGTCACGCGCGGCGGTCGCTTTCCTGGCGGACGGTGGCGAACCGATGCGAGGAGGCTCGCTCAGATCCGTCAGAAACTCGGCGCGACGGAAGACTCGCTCATGCACGGCGCGAGCACGCGGTATGTAAATGTTCTGCACGAACATTTACAACGCGATTTTAACGCTTGAAAAGTTTATGGCGACGTGTGGAACAACTTGTGCTGATTTCGCTTCAGCGGAATCGATTTTGCCTCTGACTCATCGCACGAGAGTGATTCCAACTCTGACCCCGAGCAGTGCAACACAACACCGAATCGACTTTGGTTGCGACTCAACGAGATATATCTCAATCCCCGCATTAATTCAGCATATTTGTGTCTATGAAGCACATTGGGTCGATAGCAGCATGGAAGGAAACATTTTCTATTGAGTTCAAAAAGTAAACAGGGTACGCATTCTGCTGGTATGGGCATATGTGTCTGCAGTCAATTTAAGCAAGCTTCGAGTATGTGCCAATACCTGCATTCCCATTTGGGTCGAATCATTGACGTTTTCGTTGACTCAACGATTCCTTTTCAGAGGAAAGCGTGCATGGGGTCGATTCTGCGGGAATCAACTCCGCTTTCAACTGGCAAAAATTAGGTTGATATCGGAATTAAACACTTCTCTTCCCCAAGTGAGGCAAATACTTGGGGGACAGATGCAAATACAAATGCGCGACGCCTCCCGGCGGATGTCAAATCCGGTGTCGTTATCCGCGGGGAGATATGGATGTCTTGCGGAATGTTGCATTCATAAGCTCTCAGCGGGCCCGTTTTCACCCTTTTCCTCAGGTCCTTCAGGTCCTTTTGTAATAAAAAGTTCGGGTGCGATTTGCACCTGTGCAATTACCGCTCAAGTCAGAAATCGATTTGTGTTCCAGTACCACTGGGCCCAGGGACCCATCATACCCACTTGCACGCATCCGGCTGCATCATCAAAGGGAACGTGATGGGCACTGCAGGCATCTCGGCAGCGAAGGCTGCCTCACATCGTCAGAAGGAGGCCGTTTGTTTACGCTCACTAAGGCACATCCAGGACGCCTTTAGCATGGGAGCCTGTCAAAAGCCTGCCGGGCATTATGGCGAGTACTGTCGCTACAAGATTATGCCGTTAACCTGGAATTTCACGATTGGGCGAGGAGGTCAGCTTTTTGGACTAAATCTTTAAAAAGAGCTCGGCCAATGTTAGCTGCTCGAATTCGAAATGCATCATCGGAGAGCAGCACCATACGATCGCCAACCCAGAGATGGAGAAGTTTGTTGGCCGCCGGCGCTGAAGCAACATTTAAGGCATTTTCTTGTGAAACAGCATTCTCTAGCATCGAGAAAGTTTCGCATTGCTCGTAGGCACGAATCCCCCATAATTCGGAACGTGGGATTCGTCCCCCACAACCTCAGAGCCCCAACTTGCCGAATCGCATGCACGCGCATTCTGGTAAGGCGAGTGAAGGGTGCAAAAATCGCACGCTTAACATATTGAACGCGACTGTTACAACGCCGAACGGAACGCTCTATGCGCAGATCCTTTCAATAAGCAGCTCATCGTAATGCAAACATCAGAGCGTATTATTGCCTTTTCGGCTGTTCAACGCTTTCCCCACCCGTCTTGGCAGTTGTTGCGCGGAGATGGAATGTTAAATCTCTTTGCGGTGGCTGTGGCCCCAATGTGCAACTGTGCCCCGCCCCACACACATTTTGGGCCAGGCTCCTGCAATATGAGCAATTGGCACCATACTTTATTAGTTCTTCGAAATAATAACTTAAGATTTTGCAAACGGGCAAAAATTAAAAACAATTCATATTTAAAACTTAATTCAAGGCCTAAGAATAGAATCATTTTTAAGATTAGTGCCCACGCGAGAAGTCCTGGTTTCATGAGCCCTGACCCCACCGTCGGGTGGCGGAGTCATGGAATTGTGGAATGGGATCGCGCAGTCAACTCAGAATGCTGTGTCGAAAGTTAAACGTGTCGAAATGCCCACACGACCCATCCTGCTCTCTGATCTCGCCTGACCTTTAGAGAGACCGCTGACACCAGCCGCAGGCTAGGTAGGCAGGCTGCCCCAGTCAGGGACAAAGAGCGGGCGCCCAATGCGACCCGAACCCAGAATGGGTGAAATGAATGTGTGGATCACAATGTAGACGCTCTTGCTAATCATCCGGCCGGGAAGGTAGCTTTCCGATCGACAAACAGCTTCCTGGAAGGTGACAAGTGATAAGCAGTTTGGTAGATTCATGCCTGGTAGCTTGTAGCGACAAATAGCTTCCCGGCAGGTAGCTCGGTTCCGGTGGACTGCCAAGAATAATTTGTATGCGTACCGTAACGTATGAAACAGCTGCCTTGCAGGCCTGTGATGCCAAAAGGCTGTCGCAGGTATTTGAACTAAAGGTTTTTCAGATGTACAAAGTTTACGACTCGACTGGCGAGCCTGAACCTAGACCCTCAAGGTCACCAAACCACCGCTCCGATTCCAGCGGTGCTCAAGCAAGCCTTGTCATCACTGTCGCCCAATTTCTTCATTTTGTATTTAGTTACTGGACGAGACACAGCCACGCCAGTCTTATGACGCTGTGGCGATGATTCAGAATGCCGATTGAACTTTCGGATTTGTCTGAATTCTCTTCACTTGTTTGCGCTCCATTATAGCCGGATGTGCACCGACCTATGGAAGCGTATGCTCGCCTCTGCATATTGCAGTGCACCTACCAATATCGGAACACTCCATGGCCACATCGACTCTGTTTGCACCGTCATTTGAATGTCATGACAGCTGAGCGGATCAACAGAACGATAAACGGCAGAAGTGGAAGTCCTCCCAAGTTGGAGGGCCGGTAGTCATAGTTTTTTATATTTTTCCCAGCTAACGCCCGAAGAGCCAGTATCAAATCGTCAGAACTTTGAGACGGCTTTGCCCAACCTGGTGCCCGAGTTGCTGCGCCCCGCCCCCTTTTAAATGTTATGCGCCTCTGGCCATAGATTAGACAACCATTTGGGAGGTCACGCTGAAGGACTCCGAGTACCGGGCTGACCTAGGGCACCCATGGTTACCCCGCTTCCGTCCCACGCAGCCAAACATGGGTGTCGCCGGCCGTGGACATCACCAGTACTGCCTGTAGTGGCTTGGTGTGAGCTGTCGGTACAGTGGCACTGAGTCATCACGTGTTCAGTGTTCTCGGCCTTGATTCTTGAAGGATGATGCAAATCTATCTTTGAATGTGCTTTTTGGGTAGCCTTTATCCACCTTCAGCATCTTGCCTGAAACGTTCACACATTTCAGACATGCTGCTTGCGATGGGCATGGAAACGCATTTGTAATGACGTGCAACAGATTATCGCGGCGTGCATGATTCTTTGTGTGTGGTTAACAGTTGCAAAGAGAAGTGTCACCCCTCACACCTGTTTGTGATTAAGCTATGATGAAGAGGAAACTGAATGCTGCAGAAAACTTAGCCAGGAGGCCCCGATCAGTCAAAAGACTCTACGAACCTTCAAATTTTAAACTGCTTGACCACAAAACTGAAAAAGTGCCTGTCCACGTTCTATTAAAGCACATCGCGTGCAGAAGCCTTGCTAAATCTGCAAAAAACGTATGGATATTGAAATCCGGCCATTACTCGCTTATCTTCAAACGCAGAAGTGCCCACGCCCCCCACTACCGCGTGTCCTTAATATCGGCCGCCTCGCTGAGACGAGTTCTGATCGTAATCGCCAATCCCGCGTCAGACAATGGACAGGCGGGGAGCGACCACGCCCTGATCCACCTAGCGGGCCAGCGATGCAAACTTGACGGCGCTGAGCAGGATGGGGTTGACGCGGCGCGCGCTGGATATTGGCCGCGCCCGCCTCACTAAGTGCGGCGTGGATCGGCGCGCCCAGCCGTGCCTGCTGAGCCGTCTGAGAGCCTCTCGGCCGGCGCTCCGACACGCTGCTCGAGTGACACGCCCTCCAGGCGCCGAGGGTTCGCTTCCCTCGGCACGAGTGGGTGCGAGCGTGCTGACGTCACTGGAGTGCGCCCCCCGAGCTGGTGCGACCAGGGGGCGACGTAGGAGTGATGTTTGGGAGGAAGGAACTACATGGTGGTAGATGTTAGGGGTTATAGTTTCCTATTCAGTTGTGCTAAAGTACCATTTCGGCCAGGATGTCTTGTGCCATCAATTGCTGACTAGTTCCTTATGCTGACAGGGGGT